CAATAATAATGATGATAATGACAGTGAAAAAGATGACTATAATAATAATAATAATAATAATAATAATAATAATAATAATAATAATAATAATAATAATAGTAATAATAATAATAGTAATGATAATAATAATAATAATAATAATAATAACAACAATAATAATGATAACAACAACAATAATAACAACAACAATAATAACAACAACAATAATAGTAATAATAACAACAACAATAATAATAATAATAATAATAATAATAATAATAATAATAATAATAATATATATAGTAATAAATAATAACATAACAATAATAAAAAATAACAACAACAGTAGTAATAATAGTAATAGTAACAGTAATAATAATAATGATAATAATAATATTTATATTACTACTATTACTACTACTACTACTACTACTACTACTACTACTACTACTACTACTACTACTACTACTACTACTACTACTACTACTACTACTACTACTACTACTACTACTACTACTACTGCTAAATATAATAATATTAACAACAACAACAATAACAATAACAATAACAGCAAGAACAAGAACAAGAACAATATAAATGACATAAATGATGATAACAATAGTAATACTACTAATATTTTTTTCAAAAATAGTTATAATAATAATAGTTACAATAGCTATGAAAGTAATAATTATATTAATAGTAATAATGATAATGATAGTAACAATACTTTTATTTATTTATTTATTTATTTATTTATTTATTTGTTTATTTATGTAATTATTTATTTATTTTATTTTGGTGGGGTGGGGATCTTGAAAGAAAATACGGGTGTTGTGGCACACCACCAAACCCCAGTGTTGTGGAGCTGATACCGAGAACAACTCTGTTGAGAGTAAGTCCCAATGAGTATAAATATGTCTGTCACTGGTTCTGGTTGTCATGAAACTAAGTCACTCGTATCTGAGTGCCCTAAATCTTTACTGTTGAGAAATTATGTGTCTTGAGTACCAGTAAAAAAAAGTAGTGCAAAGTTGTATTCTACAATACAAAGATAACATTAATATTATCAAATAAAATTAGAAAGCGATGATATCACTAGAATCATTCCGAACTCACCGCCCACCATGTGATGCAGTTTCTTATAATTTACGTGGGGCTATTTCATTTTTTTCTTTTTAAGGAAAGGTTTTACGTGTAACTAAAATGGGACGATAGGAAAAACTGATAATAACAGCAAAGTCTGAACTGTAATGAAAAAAAACAAACCCCAAAAAAACCCAAACCCAACAAACAAACATCTAATTTATCATAGCTGGAGGTATAACGGTTTTTTATCTCTTCATATCGCGCAGCATACAGGCCAGTTTGAAAAAAGAGAGTCGATTTATATCCCTCTTATCTTTATATTCAACATCCAACTCATTCATCATGCTTATCAGTTGTACGGTAGCCGTCATTATTTTCTACAAATAACTTGTACATAATATGAGTACTTGGAGCCACTTTCTCGACGCACGTTTCGACCCAAACACCATCTGGGCTGTCTTGCCCAAACGTGTTAGCAACACAGCGGCTTTATTACGGTAACTCCTAACAGCCCGAGGTTTTTTTTTGTGTGTGTGGGTTTTTTTCATCTGTCATTGGCTGTAGGCGTTGTTTTTTGAGTGGCGTAGGAGCACTCTTTGCCAGTATCTTTATTATTATGATTGTCGTATACTTTCCTAACATTATTGCTCGACACCTTACCTCTTCAAAAGAAGTCACACAATAGAGAAAAGAGGCATGTGGGTCTGTCCTTTTTTAAAAACTTAAATTTTGTTAATTTTATAATTTTAGTAGTTACAAAAATGTTTTTAAAAACAAATTAGATCTTTTGTTTATACATGCATGTACTCCCGGATGTGGCATATCATGAAGCTGGCTTTATGCCCCTTTCATAACGATAAAGGTATTAAAAATAGGACATTCGATCATATGTCCCTTTACGACTATTATGGTCTTGCCAAGTAGTTGGAGAGCCTTGAAAACTCAAATAAACCCTGTCTTAGAAAGCCCTGACAGAGATAAGAGCTGGGGCCCTCATCATCACAGCCCAGCATGATACCATCTGAGATAACGGCACACAAAGTGTAGGGTTGATCAAGCCAGTTTGTCGTAATTTCTACAGAAACTATCTAACGTTGTCGTAATTCGTTTTAAAATCAAATCGAAATAGTTGTGATGCGATGAGATATCCAGCAAACAAATTATAGAAAACGCACGGAAGAGACATTATGACGTATCTATATAGAACTCTGAATGTTTGTTTATCTACAAGTTAACACGTCGAGACCACAAAACACACATACACACACATAAACACACACATACCCCCCCCCACACACAGACACACACATACACACACATAAATACACACAAGCTCTCTCTCCCCCATCTCCCTCTCCCCCTCTCCCCCCTCCCCCCTCCCCCTCTCTCCCTCCCTCTCTCTCTCTCAAAACACGCACATGCACACACACACACACACACACACACACACACACACACACACACACACACATACTGACAGACACATCGCCAGGACGCATACACACACCCAGCCACAATCATGCTTGCACACACGCAATTTGCAGTCTCTATCATTAAACATTTAGATCGTGCTCGAACCGTTTGCACCTTACGATTTATGCACCAAAAACTATCAGGACAGTTTGCCGATGCACGCGGTGACCACATGAGCTGCAACACTAACGCCATCCAACTACAGCCATATCGTCCAAGTCCTGAGCAGGTGCACGCCGCCCAAAAGCAAAACAATTTCAAACAGAAAACAAAACAAACCAAGCGGCCCTCCAAACGGTCGTGTCTGAATGATCCTCTGACCCTCGCCCCAATCCCTTGAGGCTCCGCGAAGCAAGTCATACCCATCCATCACTAATCGAACCTCCATCTTTTATTTTAGGATTTCTTTAAAGCCATTCAGGTTTGGGCTTCATGTCTTGTTTGCACGGCAGACTGTGTCAACAGAACTCCGGCGAGAGAGCAGGACCTCGAGTCGACTCACGGCCAAAGCGGAGAGGGAGTCTTGGCTGGCGGGAGTTGACCGCCAAATGACGGCCGCCACATCTGGGGCTTTTTGAAAGCTGAAATTCCATACTGGAATTAAGCTCGTAATACGCTAAGCCAGGCTGGTAGAGGGATAATATGGCCGAAAAGGATGACCTTAATAAAAGCCTTAAGAGCATTCCTTCCGCACAAAGAGCAAATTTAACAAACTATGTCGTTAGTCCCTTCGCATGTCCAATCTGGATTCAAAACTAATGATAAACATTACGGTATCTGCTTTGTCGCACAGTTTGACTTATAAATATAATAAGTGACAGGTGACCCGCTATGGTTATGCATACGCTGCTTTATAATCTGTTTAAGCACCACTGATCAAAACGAAAAACTAAATAGCAAATAGAACCTCTCAACAAAAACAAAAGCCCAAAACAAACATGCAAACAATCATGCAAACGAACAGACAAGAGAACAAATAAAACAAACAAACAAAAACAAAGCAAACAAACAAGATGCAAAAATAGAATAAGGTAGATAAATCTTTATTGTCCAGATGCAGGCACATTCACTAATTGATGTTTAACCACATACACTCACACACGAACACACATACATACACACACATACACCTTCCCTCTGAAACGTTAAATAGATTACAGCGACTCCAGAACCAAGCTGCTCGCATAATTTTAAAGACATCTCTCAAAGAGCATATAACACCAATGCTAGTTCAACTACATGGGCTCCCGGTGAAAGCACGAATTCAGTACAAAATAATTGTTCTTTGTTTTAAATGCGTCAACATCATATCTTTGTGACATGGTCATCGAATACATACCATCTCGGCCTTTAAGATCGGCGACGAAAGATTTTTAAGACCTGTCCAAAGTAAAAGTCAGAGACTCAGAGGGAGAGCTTTTTCACACCACGCTCCCTCCTTGTGGAACGCTTTACCAGCCCATCTACGGGAGTCCACCACTTTATCAAAATTTAAATTAGCACTTAAAACGCATTTGTTTCAGTCCAGCTTCAATCTGTAATTTCCGACATTCCCAATACAAATATTATTATATTCTCTCGGTATCTATTATGTTCTCTCAGCATCGTTTATTCATGTTGTTCTGTTCTGTAAGGATTTATGACTGTGTGATGTCATCAATGTGTGCGAATGTGTCTGGGTAAGCTTTGTGGGATTGTCTTTACTCAAGGATGTACTGGAGAGAGAGAGAGAGAGAGAGAGAGAGAGAGAGAGAGAGAGAGAGAA